ATCCAAAGTTTTACCCTTTATCTGTCTAAAATGCCTCTGGATTCTTTAGATAAACCAATAAGGAGCATCTGATAAGTGTTATTGTGTTCATTCTCTCAATGTATGAGATCAAGGAATTGCCTTTACGCTCATTTTACAGATTTGATAAGGCCGTGTTACAAACCTCCGTGCTATGAAATTCCTGGTGCCAGAGTGAATCTAAAAATGTTTGTGTTAGCAGCCGCTGTGCTTTTGGTTTTGATAGCGTAGCTGTTGGAGGTCTGCACTGTGAATAAGATTGCGGTTAAAGAAAAAAGGAAATGAGAAATATTCTTTTTTGGAAAGATTGCTTCTTGTTTATGATGCAACCACATACACTGTCACGCTGGTGTATCAAGGAGATGCTACTGCTGAATGCTTTACACCATGAAGCTGTGGCCTAAATACTGTGCTTAGGGTCACACAGGATATATGTGTCAGAATAAGAAATTAATCACAAGTCTTCAAGTTAGGATACATACGAAATCATCCTTTAGGTTTGATCTTCAGCTAGGTAATTTCAAATTAATTTGTTGCAGGTTTTGTTCAGATTCACTTCTTCACTGCTGGTTGCCTTCTTATTCTACCTATAAGTGTGTCCTACCTTTTACCCTTTGAGAAAGAGGCTAGATGGAAGAGCTTTGATTCCTTTAATAGGGGACAACTAACATTGTGAACACCTCAGAATGCATTTTACTCCCTAAATTTCTTCTGCGGTACTGTTTTTATGTATAATCTTCTGGGCTGGATGGCTTTGTGAAGTTAGTCTTTACATTATTTCTTCCTTTTTTCCAAGTCTGTATCTTAAACTGTTGTCTAAATTTGGTCTATTTGCCTGTCTTTACACTTGTAAGCACCTTAGGGGATTTTTATACTGTATTTGTTTTGATAGAGTGAAGTACGCATACAGAAATACAATATAAACAGACCTACTGAAAATTCTTTTTGAACCAACCCTAATTGTCATTCTTGGCTGTTCTGCAGAACAGCAGAAGTCTGATGTTTTCTGCTCTGGTTTTCATCCTGAATCATTTTAACTAAAAGAAAAGATGCAACTGTTCCACTCTATCCTAGTTTTAAACATGTTTATTCTTATTAAAGTAAATTGAAATTGTTTCCTGGGCACAAAAACAAAATCTATAGTGTGTTTTGTTTACTAAAGGAATCACATTAAAATACAGAACTTGTTGATGTATTTTTCAAATTTTTCATGACATAAATTATTCATGCTCAGGCAAAAATATTAAAAAAAAAAGTGATTTCAAGCCTAAAACATGGTATTAATTGAGGATGTGCTGCTATGAGAGAAAAATTGTTTACTGTTGTTAAGTATTTATTGTAGAAAAGCTTGGAGAACACTTCCCAGTAAGTGGTCTCCATCAAGAAAGCTATTTTGGATAGCTGCTATACCAAAGCAAATACCCGCTGTCTTTGGTTATGTCTCCCTGTCAGACAGAGAGATGTCTGTTCTATCAAAGGTTGATTATGTGCTAGCTGACCTGTTAGGGGGGACATGATACAGTTCTGTGGAGTAAGTTAGATGATGCCAGCTATCGAATAGATGTGCGGTTGACAGATAGCTACTTCATTGTAAGAACATCTTCCTTGTCTCCATCAACATTGCGCAGCAGATGGAGCTTATTGTGGTCCTCCTGTGAGGCTTTCACATTGCCGTTCTGCAGTGAAATTGCATCTCTGAGACCTTCTGAGCACTGATGTTGGTAGCACTGCACAGAGTGGCTTGACAACATCAGTTTGTCTCAGGCATGTGGGGGGAGGCAAAGGTCAGCGCAGGAATGTCAAGAGAGATTTAGATTAAATTCTAGGCACGTGGATTTTAATCTGAGATTGTTTAATAGAAAGGAATTATAATAGAGGTGATGGACTTTCTATAAAGTGAGGGAAAGCTGCCTGTAAGAAGTAGAGCATTTCAGCATTTTGAAGTTGCAACTGTGATGCTACATTTCAGACTTACACTGAAGTTTTGTATTTGCTTATTCTAAAAAGTATGTCACATCAATGAAGTTGAGTTATAATTTCTTGCATTAAGTCATTTCTCCTGTTATCTTCTCTGGGAGTAAAACCTTAATGCAGATGTAAACATTGCCTATAGAACACACACACAAAACTTTGAGAAAACTGAGTGAAATTATAAATCGTATAAAATTCCAAGATACAATTTTAGTTAAAGGAAGGGGGTTTATTTATGCTGCCCTGGATGCTGCCTTGGATCTTCTGTTCAAAAGGTTTAGATTTTAAAATAAGTAGTACCTATTAGCAAGTAAAAGCAATGTTGAGTATAGAATTACCATTTATATTAAACACTTTATTGAATTGAGATTTCATAAAGGTTGTTATGTTATAAATTACATCATGTATAGCTATATGATATTAATTATCTTTAATCGTTGGTACATTTTAACTGTCATTTAAATAGACTAAATTAAGAGATTATCGGGAAAAACATTCTCAATCTTGAGATTTTAACTGCTTTATTCTAAAATGTTCATCTTTGAAGTTGTGCAATTTTGCTGTTTCAGTTACTTTTTCTTTATGTTTTGGTTTGCTGTGAGAATGATTAGAAAGTGATGACAACTTTAATTGTGCTACTATTAAGCACGATGATTCACCGTGTCCTCATAACATTCTAACTCAGGCAAGTGCTTACTGAATCCGGAATAACATAAATCTATGGGTTAGTTCCTATATCTGTATTGCTAAGTGTGCATGTTTTATGTTGTAAATTTGGAAATAGATTCTAGACCAATGGATTTTTGTCTGGAATCCATCTGTTTCATTGGCAACAACAACAAAAAAAACACAGTAGAAGTGAAACACCAAAGTAAATTCTTTAGCTGGAAACAAAATAGAAGATATTTTTTTTATTCAGGTACTGGTTTTACCATTTGATCCTTATTTTGTTTTTCACCTTAGCAAAAACCTGCACCTTCAAACAGGAAATGCGACTGTTACAAGTACATCATCGTGGAGAAAAACAGGAAGAAAAATTTTGGAATATTTATTTTTTTGACCATCTGAATTATAGTGTCACAGCACTATTTTGAAACTTGCTGAGTAGCATGTTTTGCTAAGAGCAAATATTTAAATTATAGACCAGAATCTGTTGCTTTATTATCATAACCTAATAGATGGATCAACATGTTATTATTTTTAATGTGGGCAGTGGAGAAAAGAGGAAAAGAACTATTTTAACTTTTTGAAATCCACATTCATCGAGAATGGGAAGCAACTACTTCACTTGCTCTATTGGAAATGATGCTAGATTAGCAAGATGAAAATGGGGTAAAGTTAATAGTAGCAGCACACTAGATCTATGTTTTGTATTACCTTTGCAAGACTCCAGTTAAAAAGCAGCACAAATCATTCTGCTGCCTGCATTTCTTGAAGATGGAGAGAGAAAAACCCTCAAAGCAAAAAAATAGGAAGGGCATGGTGGTTACTTCCATTTGCTGCCCTTTCAACCACACATTTAGCTGAAACCAAAAATGCATATTTAATAGAATTGAGAGCACAGAAAGGAAAATATAATTATTGGTATGAAATACAGCTATTGCAGGCATACATATTTCAGAAAACTGCTGTTTAGGTTTGTTTTATTAAGCAGCATGTTAGTTCATTTATTGGAGGAACATTCTGTCCATCATTCTTAATATTATGTTGTAGGATTGTTGTAGGAAAATTCAGCAAGGGACCTCAGGAGGACTCTAGTTTAATCTCCTGCTTAGGGCAGGGTCTGTTCTGAGGTCAGACCATTGCTCAGGGTTCGATCCAGTCAGGTATTGAAAGCCTCCGGTGATGGCTGCTGTGCAGCCTCTCTGGGCACCCTTTTACAAAACCTGACTGTACTTATAGTGAATACATTTTCCCTAAATCTTATATGGACTACGCTTGAAAGCAGTGATGTATGCAGCACTACATATTTGAGATTCTTGTCCTTCCTGTCCCCTAAATCAGCATCTTGTTCAAATCTTTCTTCATCCTTCTTACGTGATCCGGATAAATTGCTCTAGTCCTGTGGACGTAAAGTCTGCAGTGGTGCCTGCCTATATAAAAGCCTAAAGAAACTTATAGTGATGCAGCAGCAGCTTCCCGCTTAGGCTTCCCTTCCTGCCTTTTTTTATTCTTTCAAAAATACAATTTGATGCGTAATTTTTAAAGAGATTGTAGAGTGAGCAAAACCAGAAGTCTCACTTTGCTTGAATTGTCTGTGACGGAGTACCCCAGATCCAGTGAGTTTGTCAGTGAGATTTGTGCTGTGGGAACATACATAGACTTTTTCAGTACTCAATTTCAGCATTTAAGTACTTTTGATATCCTTGGGAACATGTGTTGGGTTTTTTTTTTCATTCTTAAGGGAGAAATAATTAAAGTAATACCAGATGTTGTTATTACTGTCCATTATTGTTTAACTAGAAACATAATTCTTAATACTGTATGAAATATGACTGGTGCTTTTTTCATCTATAGATGAGAGTGGGATATTTACTATCTTTGTACTAGGGTATGTGCATATTTTAAATTGAAAAAGAAGACAAAGGTTGTGGTTAAGTTTCAGAGGAAGGGTGGCATGTGAAATGCATGTTTCCTCAGCTTTCTAGAAGGTTACAGTAGTTGCCTGTAATGGGGCCATATTTTCAAATCACTCTTTGTTGTGTTTCTAAAATCTTGCCTGTCACTCGGAGAATTTCTTCAAAGAACAGGTATAGCGGAATGCTATCTTCAAGGCTAGGAATGTAAGAAGTGGGAAAACTGTCTAGTGGAAGTTTGTTTAGAATTATCGCTGAAGAATAATTAGGTACTTTTTGACTCTTGTCATTTGTCTTATTAGGTAAACTGTACATTGGAAACAAGCTAGCCACTTATAAACTTTCCCAGCTATGTAACTTCGTAAAGTACAGCACTTCATCAAAGCAGATCCATTAACCCTCTGACTGGTACTCTTCTCTTGGCTTTGATTGCAGCACCGCACAGAAGCACCTAGCCCATCATTGCTACCCCCATCAACTTTACCGTTAGATGTATTAAACAATGCTGTTGCTGGATTTAGTACTGTGGAAGAACTTATCCGGTACCTTGAACCAGATCGGTGGCAACTGGATTTGGAAGATTTGTACAGGCCAACGTGGCAACTTCTTGGAAAGGCGTATATTCATGGGAGGAAATCAAGAGGTAAATTACTCTTCTGTCTGGCCTTGCAGCTATCTACGGGTGTGTTTTCGTAACAAAGAAACAGTAGTTAAGAGCATTCTTCGCCTTGAATTTTGGTTCCCAGAAAGCAATATGTGAGAAATACAGCGGAGATCATTGTTCTTAGCTATTCTCACCGTTATACTATATGAAAAAGGACAATTACTAAGCTCAAAACTTAAAGGAATTTAGCAGGATAAAGCAACAAAGGGGAAAAAAAAAATAGACGGTTCTATACGGGACCTGGGAGATCTTTATTTCCAGAAAGTAGCAGGGCATCTTGGATGGGTGACATAATCTAACTGTGGGTTCTTGTTTTTGTTTTTGTTTGTTTGCTTGTTTTTTATGAAGGGCAAAACCATGATTCTTTGGGTTAGGCAATTTCTTACACCCACTGTATCATGTGAATGACTGGTTTATTTCCTTAGAATTGTTGTGGTCTCTACACCATATGAACTGAGAGCAGTTAGCTAAATGTTTCTCTTCCATGATAACTCATGAAATCCTTGTGTCGTGCCAGTTTGATTATGCAGTTGTCATCTTAATCAGATGTAAAGTAGGTTACATATTTCAAGACTTGTGGTGCCATTACTTGTTCAGCAAGTAATTTTCGGCCATCTACACTTGACATTCAAGAATTTGCTACCACATATCATCCAGATGCTCCCCACTATTTCATGTTTATGGATTCCACATGGATGGATAGCATGAAGGCAATATCTTCTTCCGTGCCCACCGTACAGCGTGAAAATGAAAACATATGAGCATAACTGAGTAGACTCCTCTGTTGACAAATGTAAACTAGATTATCATCTGATTGGCAAGAAAAGGGAGGAAGTAAAACCTCTCATAACTCAAATTTAAATTTTTGACAGCTAATTCTTGGATCAGAGCCCAAAAATCAGCCCTTGTACCCTACCTGTACTGCTGCAGCTGTGCACAAAGCAACTAAATCAAGAGTCAGAGGAGGAAATATCTTTAAAAGCTTTCAGCAACAGACCGTGCCTTTCAGATAGTTCTTTAACACTGTCCTAATTAAAGAGATTCAGTATTTGCCAAATGTATGCCATAAACTTACAGTAAGTGGGAGAAAAACAAAGTGTAATTTGTGAAACCTTACATAAACTAAAATACAGGTGTTGGATAACGTCTATATAGACAAAAGCAACTCCCTGAAAGACATATCTTAGAAAGAAACTATCAGAGTAAATCTTTTAAAGACTTCTAATTAGATGCTGAAACAGATTTTTCCACTGAATAAACATATCATGGTATTGCCACATTTATCTTTAAGAGACCACCCTCAGACTGCATTACCGAGTGTGTAATGTAATAGCCTGAGGCGGAAAATATGTCCAGTTGAGATGACATAGTATTAACTGTTAGGTCTATTCAATAGATACGGAAAGCAAACCTTTTTTTTTTTTTCCTTCTTTTTTTTTTTTTTTTTCTCTTAAACTCCTTCTAGTAGAATGTTTGCTGTATTTAAAAACCTTTTCAAGAAATGTTCGGGAGAAGTACATGCCATAAAATGTTTGGGTTTTTTCAAACTCTTTGATTCTATAATTAGATCAGTTTTATTTTTGCAATATTTCAAAGTAAAAGCTAAATCACTGTCCTGCTTTCATAGACAAACATCAGTTTACATCTAGATTAAATGAAAATGTAATTAAAAGTGTATGTTACTTTACGTAGAGAAGAGTATTGTCCTCTACTCCTACTTAATAATTCATATGAAAAGACCATATTTAGACAACCTAAATTCCACAGAACTTCTGTCTGATGTTTTCACTGGATAAAATGCTTCCAAAAACTTCTAGCCAGGAAAGAAAAAACACCAAGTTCAGAGGCTTTGATGTCTAAATATAGTTCTGAATTCTTTTATAATATTAAACATACTTAAAAATAAAATATATTTTGCTGTGCAAAAAAACGATCCCATCACTTCCCACAGAAATATAAGCACAATCATTAGACCATATTCTGAAGTCTGCTTAAGAAGAAGAGAGACAATCCAACCATAGTCCTTAACAGATACTTTTCTCATATAGTTATGTGACTTTCCCCCCACCCCCCTCATCATTTGGGGTTTTGTAACAGCCTTGTGCTATTGTAGGAGCCAGTAAGAAACTTACACTCCCAGGAACATCTCCAAGGTGCTCAGGAATGAAAATCATCCTGCTGCTATGTGTGCCCAGATGCAAGTGCCTCAACCAGAATTTAATTTGTTTCATTGACTTTGAGAGCAGCATCCAGCAGGAAAAATGTTTTGAGGAAAGGGGGTACTCAATACAAGTCCCAGAAGATGCCAGTTGCAGAACACAGTTATTTTCAGGCTGGCATGAACATAGATTACTTCAGTTGTACATGCCAGTGAAGGCATCCTTTAGAAACAGACTTTACTGTAGACCTACCTGCATCTACGTTTCTTATCCTCACCTTTTTTCCTTCTCCCTTTCTTTTTATTTTACTGTTTCCCATTCATGTGCTACTGCAGAGCTTTCCATTCCTCCTGAGCTAGTGCTAGACAAAAGAACTTTGACTGTTGTGTCAAACATGATACATGAGTGGAAGCCAAGTTGAAGGAGTGTTTAAATGTTCACATTATAACAGGTACTGTAACTCAGTGCACTTGGGAAATCCACATAACCTTTTATTGTGGTTAAGTAAACACTTTTAAGGGAATATATACATACTCTCATCTAGCTTTGTGCCCACAGTGTGTTAAAATAAATTTTGGACAGACAGATACTCTTTGAAAAAATAACAGCTTCATTCACACACTTCAAAGAAGTGATTATATAAGCACTAGATAAATTTGCCTCAGACCTTTTAATGGAATTGAATTACATAAGGTAGGGCAAGGGTTCATTGTGAGGTATAATAGCAATATACCTTGTTACATTGTAAAGCATGGAAACCAAACATGACATTTTTCATCTCTCCTGAAGCCTGTTGTAACAGTAAGGCACGCTAAAATATATCTGCTAAGAGCTGATTGCATCTTCTTCCACAGAACCTTTTTTAAAATTTGGGTCTGCAGATCCTGAGGGGTTCAGTTCAAATTCATTCCAACTTTGTGACAAAATGTGTAATACTCTTGCTGCTCATTTTAGTGCATTGCCCTTTTCTCTGTGTTGTAACTACAGCTAGTACTGGGAAATGGAGTCATTCCTCTGCTGCTGCCAGGAGGCAGGAGGTAATGGAGAAGCACAACACACCCCAGGCATCTCTGTCCCACCGGTCGGTGGGCTTGCTGGAAGAGGCATCAGTGCCCAGCTCCTGTTTTTAATTTGTCATGGTGAAGGGCTGAGCAGCAATTGTGTTAGTATGCATAAGTTTAGCTTCTTGAAATTCACTGTACCAAGCATGTCATTCTCTGTAGAAATCTACTAGTAGAAAGTGTGACCAGAACCAGCGTTTCTCTCATTGTGTTTCAGGCATTTTATCCTCATTCAGACAGTTCACTTATTATATGTTTGAAAGCATAACAGGGGAAAGAAGTACTCCATTCCTATCCACTGCCCTTGATTAATGGAGGTAGACATGTCCACCCTCTAAGTGACTCAGCCTAGAGCTATTAGCTGATCAGAAGAGCTTAAATCATTTCTAATTTCTCACAGTGAATCTCTCCCCCGGAAGTTTTGTCTCACTTCTCCGGTGCTCCTTTCTCAGCTTTCTCCCAGGAATGCTCTTGCAGTGAGGGAGGGCAGGCTAGCGTCCTATCAGTAACTTTATTGGAGTAATTACACACTCCTCGCTTTTAAAAATCAGATTGTTTATTTAGGAGCCTATGTTAACCTGATAGTGATGGAATGAAGTGCCCCAGCTTGGTATTCACTGTAAGTGCAAGCAGAGAAAAGGCTTCAGCGTGTTTAACTGACCTCCCACAGCAATAAACCCTTACTTGTGGATGCCAGTGTATGGAAATGTTCTGCGAAAGAAATGTTTGAAGAAACATGGAGTGAAATTGCTGCCCAAAGATCTGCTTCTGGGACAGTGCTAGTGAGCACTTCTACTAGAGAAATGCAGCTTCTAAATTGTCTTTATTTCTTCTGTGTTTAAATAGAATTGAGAGGTATTATCTTGCCTTGATATGCTGAAATTCTCCTTGGTGACCTCTAGAGGCTCTTTACATAGTCAGTAGAGGGAAAGAAGGGTATTTCTCTAGCGGGTGATTCCGATCAAGAACATATTTTAGCTTCATTTTATTGCTTTTTATTTACAAACTGCTAGCAATAACTATAAAGTGTTTCTCAAGTAACATCAATGCACTGGGATGATTTTTTTCCCTAGTTTCTTCTTGATTTTGTTCAAAAACAGTTGGTTTAAAGCTCATTGCTGCTTTGTTTGAGACCTCTAGTTCAGTCATCTCAGTAGCCATATTATCATAGGGGGTTTTTTTGTTTGTTTGTTTTTTTTTACCAGATAGAGTACCCTAATTTATTCACTAAGCCAGTCCCATTATTTTCAGTCTTAACTGCCTCTTTCAAGGCTTGTTATTTCTTGGCTGTGCAGCTAAGGTGAACCTAAAGGAGCTTGCCCTGTTCCCTATCTTTCCAGGAGTTTGTTGTTCAACCATTGGCGTAGTGAAACTTTAGTGGGATACAGTGGAACCAGTTTATAGGGAAACTGGTGCTAAATATTAATATCTTTAATTTGCACTTCAAGTTAGGTGCTTACAAGGAGCAGCTGTATTTTATTTAAGACATATCAAGTGAAAATGAAACCTAGAGAAGCAATAGAAATTCACATGTATACTGCTATGAAGGAGGAGGGAAAAAAATGGAGTCTACTAATAATCATATAGATACACATACTTGTGTACTTACTTGTTGTCCATACACTATTCACAGATGACATCATTTCTTGAAGTTCTTAGTCCATAGAAGTGAGTTCCTCTTAGCTATAAATGGTTTGATTCTTTCTTATACTTCATCACCCTTGCAATGAAGCAATAATTGAAATTTTAGCAGGGAAGAAGTTTGAATGCTTTATTCAAATTAATTAAGATGTTTTTGGAGGTTTGCAGGATTCTTAATTGCTGTGTGTGTTTCTCCAATCCAAAATTAATATAGCATAGCAACACAAGAGCTCAGAGTATTAGCATGAAGAAAGGGAACTCCATTAGGGTTGATTTGATAAAACATTTATTGGAACATAGTAGCCAAAGCTTCTTTTGTTTAATTTGAACCAACTCTGCCAGACTTATAAAATAAATGGTGAATATTCCTCTACAACGATCATTCCATTTAGGTTTCATGGTGTTCATAAAACTGTGGTATTATACTTGAGTGCTGAACCTGTACGACCTGCACAAAAACGAACTTTCCTCAAGGGTTCTGCACTGCTGAAGTTGGTTTAGCACCCGCGAAGATGGGTTACAAATAAGAAAAGCACCAGTTTGTTTGTCTTTTTGCAGTGGTCGATCTCAACCTCCTAAAGGAGGAGGTGCGGCTCTATAGTTGTACTCCTCGCAACTTCTCAGTGTCACTGAGGGAGGAGCTGAAGCGAACTGACACCATCTTCTGGCCATTGTGTCTTCTGGTTAAACGTTGTGGTGGAAACTGTGCCTGTTGTCATCAGAGTTGCAATGAGTGCCAATGTGTACCAACAAAAGTCACCAAAAAATACCATGAGGTACGTGCTTTCTTTTACACTTGCATGTTTGGAAATACTGAAAGCCAATTAAGGAATTTATTTTTATTATAGGAATGAACCAATATCAATATTTTAAAATTTTATGTATTGCAGTTATAGTAAATATTTTTTTAACATTTTAATTAGGTGTTACATAAAAAAAAAAGTAATACCTTTCTTATTAAAATATTTTTCTGTGGAACTGTTAAGTCATTCCTGAGGTATTTGTTTACTGGTGAAGTTCAGATACATCACAACCACACCTCCTGGTTCAGCTTTCCCTGGTGACAGATGTGAACTTTATGAAGGAACATATATCTGTCCATTTCCATTGTTATAAATCTATAGCTAAAATTATTTATTGCAGAATTATTTAATAATTCCATTGGGTTAACTCTACTCTTAGCCCTTAAATAAAATTAAGTAGAAATACGAAACTGCAAGACTTTCTTCTTTGGTAAAAGCAAGTATCTGTTCAACATGTTTTAATCAATTTTGTAAAGGGCTTGAGGTAAATGCAAAAATAATTAGGGGGTGGAATAAATGAAGAAATTCAGCTGAGGAAAACCTATTCCTTTTAATAGGCTTCCTGTCATCCAGTGTGCTTCCAGTGCGATCTAGCTCATAGTCTAGATGTGTGCTGAAGCACTTGCTGTTTTCTTGATGCTTGGCTGCTTCTCCTTCAGGTTCTTCAGCTGAAGCCAAGGATTGGCGTCCGGGGATTGCATAAATCATTGACAGATGTACCCTTGGAACACCACGAGGAGTGTGACTGTGTGTGCAAAGGGAATACTGAAGGATAAATATGTTTAATTGTGCTGTTTTCTTTCAAAGCACATTCAATCAATGGCTGATTCTATTATGGGGCTTGTGCATTATCTCCTTCTGTAATCTCAGTTGTTTGCTTTGGGGATCTTCCATCTTCAAGATTTACAGTGAGCTCTTAAAAGAGGAGAAGCCAAACTGGGATTATACGTTGTGTGACAGCTCTGTTTGGAGGCCCAGTGAAAGGATGGGAGAAAGGCATCAATGAGGGATTTAAAATACATGTATTGTTTTTGTCCCCCACAATTTTCTTGACAATACACGGATTTATAATTTAGGAGTAAAAATAAAGTTAGAAGGCTCACATCATGGAGACGATCCTGCTGGCTGTCTCATTTCTACAGCTCCAGTACATCTGGCCTCTGGTTGAAAACACCTGAAATCTTTCTTTCTGTGTTCAACTACTCCTATGTACTCTAAATCGAAGTGTTCTCTGTTGTATAAACTTGGGTTAAAACAGACTGGCTTGATCCGAATTAAACTTAATTTGTCTAATGCTGGTAGGAAGGACTGGATTTTTCCATACGCTCTAGTAAAGCTCCTGCCTTTTAGAAAGAAGACTGGACAATAATGTGAGCTAAGGAAGCAAACATTGAAAAGAACAGCGCCTTTATTCTTACTACTATGGCTGATGATTTGTTTGTTTGTTTATTATTTTTTATCGTGTACATTTTTATACTCTCCTTTTGACAATATAACTATTTGCTTTTCTAAACTTGTTAAATATATCTATTTTTACCAAAGGTATTTAATATTCTTTTTTTTATTACAACCTAGATCAACTATTTTTTAGTTTTGTAAGACTTTAAAGCCAGATTTATACAGTTGGAGGAACAGAGATGTGGTTACAATGGGAAATGAGCATGATCTCTTTGCAGTTTGTTGCTATACAGTGGAAAAACCACAGTTTTTTATGTGGATGCACAGTAATAATAGAGATGTGTGGATCAAGCTCTAAGCTTGCTAGCTCCATGACATTGAAAAGATGAGAGACAGACGTAACTGTAAGTGGTTTCAGAAGCTGACTTTAAAAATTCCTTCTCTCCATTCTGGCCTTTGTTCCGGTAGAAAAATGAACATAGATAGATGCATACTGGCTTGTTTAACTCTTTAATTTCTTTAAAGTAGGATGATCTACAATATAAGAAAAGAAGCTCAGTGGCTTGCAGCCTTCATGATGCATCATGGTCATGGGAAGGCAGCCTTGTTAACGTTGAAGTGTATGGTTTTCCATTGGCAGTTATAGCGGTTTAAATACTGTTCACTCACAGGATCGTAACACTCTTCAGTACAGTTGATGAACTATAGTTTTGTTCTTCTGTACATTATATTCTTTAACCAATACACTTATCCCACCCTATGCAAATTGAAAAGGAAACAGTAAAGTATTTTGCTTGTAAAATGCTTTAACATTATGCCTAGTTTATTTTTTTGACTATTGGATTTGCAGATTGTAATGAATCACCAAATAAAGTAATAATGCTAATTTTGGGAGAATAAACGTTTCTGTGTGGTTGCATATTTGTATCTGTTCAATATACAATAATAGCAAAAGTTAAAGAGGGCAATTTTCTACTTACCATTTTGAAAGTCAGTTATGAAAATAAAAGCCTTCTATTACTAAGACTTCCACTTGCTTTATTCTGCTTTACTGTAAACCACGAGAAGAAAAAGGCAAAAGAAGGAATGTGATTGCATTTGTATAAACATTCAAATTGTTCAAAATTATCTGGATGTGAAGCCCTCAAATTGAAATAACATCTTCTGTTATTGTTTCCATTGTGAAAATGAGTTCTGATGAAAATGTGGAGAGTTTTGCAAGTTAGTATGACTTTCTGATATCAGTTCTGGAAAATGCTCAGGTGACTTCTGATTCTGTCTTAGCTGGTCTATTGTGCGCCACCCTCAACCTCCTACTGAATAAGAAAAATATCTGATGTTAATGTGGCATATAAGTATCCAGTCTGAAAATTAACCCTGTATCAGAATGCAGAATTATGGTCACACAGGAAACCTGGTTCACTTGAATTTTGAGTCTTTGACCAGAACAAAGAGTGTTTTGTAGGGATGATGTTTTTTTGGTTTTTATTTTTGCATTGATGTTGTCCTTTTTTTGTGATTTAAAGAGCTTTTGAAAAGAAAGTTGAGATAAAAGCATAACCTCTGGCATCATAATTCAGCAGAAGAATTGAAAAATGTAATTCTGCTACATAAATTTCTGCTGTAGGAAATGCGAGAGGTCTCATCCTCCCTGTAAACTCACTTGTGGAAGAAGGCATGACATGGATTTTGGGGTAGGTATTTGGTGGCAGTAGAGGAATGGGGAGTTTCTGAAACAATACAGGGTATGGAGGGTTTTGTCTTCCAAAAGTCACATGTGTTTCTTCTATTCCCCTCTGGCTTTGGCTTGGTTTCTTCCTTGCCAATTTCTTGCACCAGTTTCCTTCCCAATTGCTTGCTATAGACCTGCATCTGAACTCCTTGTCCCTTTGCTCTTTTCATTCCCCCTTCACAGTGCTGTCCCTCTCATCTGATCCAAAATCACCATCCCTCCTGTTTGCCATCCTCTTGCCGAGGATCATTAAGCTCTTTCCCTTCTCCTCAGCTCCGTGCAGAAGCTGTGTCTTCTCACTGCCTCTGCTCAGACTTTGCTTTTACACCTCCCCTCGGATATTCAGGGGATTTAGCAACCCAACTCTTCCCTAGCTTAAAGAGTATGGACAGGCTCGGTTGCTTTAAAGGATGAGGTTTGGGAAAGATGCCAACCGAGCGAAGCAATGAAGGGTGCAGTTCTCCTGCTACATCCTCTGCCCTGCTGGCGGTGTGATGGGATGCACCCCTGCCATCTCCTGACCTGGTGCCTAGGCTTGGTCTAGAGATCCTCCTGAGTTTTCAGTGGTCTTTGCACCCAGAAGAGTCTTAAAATGTTTTGAAGAAGTCCTTCTGACAGTGCAGGGGAGCTGGTGTCACAACAAAGTATCACATTGGTGACCTCCTGTTGGCGGGAAAGGGTGAGGTGAGGTAAAATACGTGGGATGGGGCTAAGAAGGGTGAGAGGGCGCGGGAGAGCTGGGCCAGGCCAGGGCCGCTGGGGGAAAACACAGCAGAAAAGGGCAAGAGAGAAACAGTGCTGATGACCGGGGTCTCCTAATTTGCTGACGGCTCCTAATTTGCTAACAGGTCCTACTTTGCTGACAGCTCCCCTGGGGTAAGGCCTGTAGCTCCCTGAGGCCTCCCTCCCTGGGGAGGATTTGTCAGCCCCGGGTGCAAGGCTGTCCCCAGCAGGCCCTGCGGGGATGGTGCCAGCCGGCAGGAGGGAGGAGACGGGGACATGCACAGCTCTGGGTTTAGTTGGGGATGCCTTGACCATTGCTGGTATTTGGTCTTAATCTTTGAAAAATATAGTTGATATAAAACTTAAGAACTGCACCTAAGAAATGTACTAATTACGATAGGTACCGTTCTAGCATAAAGGGATTGTGCCACACTATGCTTACAGAAACAATTGCCTAACTCTACCTCTCCTAATTTGCTTAAAATTCCTCCATTGAGAGGTTTTCATTTCTCCCTCTGAAGATGTTCTTACCCAAAGGTGAAATTTTTCAGTCAGGTGTTTCTGAGGAGCTTTAACTTCTTGCAGCCTGGAGGTGAACCGAGGCTTGTTATACCTACAGTTGCACACAGCATGCAGGAAAAGCTCCTCTGAGGGTTTTGTTTCATTATTATTATTTATATTATGTTGTTTCTGAGTAAAAATGTGTGGTAAAAACTAACTGAAGATATTAATCATGAATTACTATCAAACAATGGTGCCTTTCACAGTTACAGGTCATTGCAGCTGAATGCCAAGGATGCCATACGTGTAGAAAAAGATTGACAAGAGTGGGTAGAAAGCCCGTGATTTTCAATATGGAATAGAATTTGCAAGCTTTGATCTTACATCTTTGTGGAGATTTTTTAAAATTATTGCTGTCATTTTTAAGCCACGAGTTGCTGAACTCCGTTAATGTAAGCATCAGTGCTAGGGAATAAAGAGGGAAATGACTGTTTCCAGTGGGCCTAAGCAGTGGAAACAGCTGAGTGGAATGAAGTAGCTCCTGTAAACAGACAAAATCCAAACAGCGTAGGCTGCATTTTGTACGTTTTACCATATTCCCAATAAATGGCTTCAGCTAAAAGTAATTTTTCCCCCCAGAGGAATAGGTGGGGAGCTGCTGACTGATGGTGAGCCTTGTTTTTATGGATTCTGTAGATATTCACATTCCTGAAACCCTCCTGTCAGCCATGGCCAGCATGGGAGTGCTGTGGAGCAGCACCAAAACTTTAGTCACCGAGGGTGTTAACTGCAGATCTGTTGGCTCTTAAACTCTTTTAAGTTTTCTTGTTCTTCGTCTGCCTGGTTGCACAGGCCAACAGCTCCTTTTCAGCAGAAGAAGAGAAAAAAAAAAAGTGGATGAAACAACAGAGTGTGTGGAGGGGAAAGAGACGGAAGCACAAAGCTACCTTATTTAGTAGCTACTGCACATCAGTTTATGTAAGCTGTTATCCGATTTCCTTTCTAACAGAGGACTATGTTGAAACTCTTACAAATTTGCAATTCAGATACTAGCTGTTTAAATAGTCTGATTTGGATTGCACCAAACTCTGGAAATAAATTTGGAAACGGTTACTTTCTGTTAGACTTCTGAAGAGATAGTGGTAGTGCTGCTGTTGAATGCTCTCTCATAAAACCCCATGCAGAGATGCTGAAAGAATCATGACTGCAAGATTCTCATTCAAACCAAGTTCTGATGCTAAGTGACCAACTTACATTTCTGATGCTGCTTATGATATGATATGTAAGTACGTTTGAGTAAGTTTGCTCTTCATACTGTTTTTTGCATGGGATGCTTTATCAGACAACTTTCCTTTCAAACTTCTTTCATGCACATTTTAAACCCAGGGACAGTGGTTTTGTTTGTCTGCTAAAATCACAGAGTAAAAATATGGCTACTTTTTTGAGCATAAATTGGAAAAAGCTTTTCAGAGAAGAAAGTTTGCCTATTGCCTCACTGGAAGTCCTCTAGACTGTTGAAAGAAAAAATAAATTTACAGTTCAGTCATGGGAGAAAGATGACACCTTTTTTGAAAGTGTGATTCAGAGCACGTAAGCTAGATTCCTGCTCTGAGTCATGTTCTGTGTCAGTCTTCACTGACACTGTCTTCATCAAGTATAGAATCAAAGTCTGGCCCTCCCAGTTAAGGCAGCTCTGTGAGATGCATGTTGTTAATCAATGGGAATACCCCATTTACAGGCCTGTTTTCTGAACAAAACATCTCTTTCTCAAAGAAGGGTCTCAAGAAGTTCTGCAACCTGGAACAGGTTTCCTTGTAGCCCATTTGAGAAGCTTTTGTTTTGCCTAGTGAAGTAAAGACAGAAGTGACAGTTCAACTGAAGCCTATGCTGCCTCCCTCGTTCTGCAGTGCTGAAGACAGATCCAAGCCAGCTTGGTTCT